TTCATGGCTATAGCTCATCCTATCTCTTTTTTCAAGGGTAGTGAGAACTTGGATTGTAACTCGACTTCATTCTTTTTCAAGAATGTCCCCTCTTCAGGGTTAGTCGCTAGTTTTCCAGTAACTTTTCCGATGGAGAATGTAAAACTTCGAATGGGAAGTGTTTCCCACAGACGGCGCCAATCTGTTGACCTAAAAAATTGGTCCTTCCACGTGGCCAACTGAGAGCTACTCCACGTATTCCTCCCTGTGCACAATCAGCGAGCAGTCAAACGCACACGGTCGGGATCAGCAGGGGTGGTGGCGGCCGTATACACTCCGACGGTCAAGTCAGGTTCAGGTGATCGGAACAGTACCCAGGGGTTGTGCCTAATAATAAAGGGGAGGAGAATATATATATATATATATATATATATATATATATGCTTGTTATGAAGTGTTAAGTAGTAAGAGTTTCATTACATTTGTCTCTTGCCAAGCCTTGTGTATTTATAGGTGAAGAGAACCGTTGGATGTGGGACACGTGTATACATCTGACGGTATGAGGCGTCTGCTCATAGGTGTCAATCAGCCGCGTCTATAGAGTAGGTGATTATTACTTCTCTCGAGTTAAGTTGACATAAAGTTGATACGTTACATCAACTAACCTCATGGAGACATCAAATCATTTTAAATCTTGACAAAGATCTCATTCTGAAATTGACGACGAATCCTCTGACAGAGGTCCCCGGAGTGCATTTCGCCTCGGATTCAAGGGCGAGGGCGCTTCGGTCAATCCCGCAAAATTGCCAATGCCTCGTAGTGTGATAGCAAATCGTCACCATTGGTGAAGTCATCAGAACCACTTCGGATGAGTGTTCCACACCTCGCATGATGTGGTGGTAGACTTTCCGAATTGGTTCAGATAGAGGCGTAACAGTGGTCCCCCAAGTCCAGGTATGAACATTTATATCATGGGTGGACTTGTCTTCCCGATCGAGTATGTATGCCTCCGGATGGGGACCGTG